AAACTGGCTAAAGCAGAAATTGACAATCTGATTAGACCTATAAAATGTAAATAGATTGAACTAATAATCAAAATATTTATCATAGATGTTCTGCCTCATCTCAGGCCCACAGTGATGGAACTAAGGGACCATGGACTAAAACCTCTGAAACCACAAGCCAAGATAAATCTTTCATCTCTTAAAAAGAAAAAAAAAACAGGTGTGGTAGCTCATCCATAATCCCAGCTACTCTGGAGGTAGAGGCAGGAAGATCTGGAATTCAAGGCCAGCCTGTGCAAAGGTAGCAGTGAGAGCCTGTCTTGAAAACAAAATAAAAACGAAAGGGCTGGGGGGCATAGCTCAAGTGGTAGAGCTTTTGCCTAACAAGTGAGAGGCCTAAATTTAATCCCAAACATTGCAATGAGAAACAAAATTACCATAATGGAAAAACCCAGTGTTCAGCAATGAAATTCTATCAAACATTTAGTTTTCAAAAAATATTAGAAAAAGGCTTCCTTACTCATTATTTGATGCCAATATTAATTTGATACCAAAACTAAATAAAGCTATCACAAGAAAATTTTAAGTTAATGTTATTTATGAATATGGATTTGAGAAATCTCAACAAAATACTATCAAACTAAATCAAACAGGATATAAAAATGATTATATACCTTAATGAAGTAAGTTTTATCCCAAGGATATAGGGTTGGTTCAGTCGATGAAACAACAAAATCAACATATAAAAATCAATAAACATATTTATAAAATAAAGTTGGAGGGATCAAGGGGGTGATCATAGATTGTTTAAGTAGATGAAAAAATATTTTACAAAATTCAACATCCTTTCATAATTAAAAACACTCAACAAACTAAGAATAGAAGTGGACTTCCTCATCCTTATGAAAGGGTATATATACAAAAATCCACAAATAACATCCTATTGAGTGGTGAAAGACTGAATACTTTCCCCATTGGTGTTTACCCTCACCACTTATTCAACACTGGACCAAATGTTCTAGCTAGGGCAGTTAGGCAAGAAGAAGAAGTAAAAGGCATTCATTTTGAAAAGGAGGAAGTAAACCTTTCTCTATTTTCAGATGACAAGATTGTATATATAATTAGAAAGTCCTAAACAACATATGCAACACATACCAAAAACAAAGCCACAAATGTAATACAAAGTTAATATTTAAAAAATCATGCTGGGACTGGGGCTGTGGCTCAAGTGGTAGAGTTGCCTGCCTAGCAAGCGTGAGGCCCTGAGTTCAAATCCCATACCACAATAAAAAATCATGTTTATTTCTTTTTTGTTGCTTTTGGTGTTGCTGTGTGCATGTTTGTTTTTATGACAGGGTCTCCTTGTGTAACCTGGGCTGACCTCAAACTCTCAATCCTCCTGCCTAAGCCTGCCAGATGCTGAGTTTACAGGTATGTGCCACCATACCTGGCTTCATTTGTATTTTTATATGCAAGCAGTAAACAATCTAAAAATGAAATTAAGAAAGAAATCTATGTTTTTCTATAATAATACCAATATGGATAAAAATAACCTAGGAATAAAGTTGAGCAAATTGTAAGACTCTTTGCCTAGCGAGCTCAAGGCTCTGCATTCAAACCCTAGTACTGAAGGAAAAAAAAAAATGTGCAGGACTTGTACTAAAAACTACAAAACATTGGGCTCTTTGGGGGGGTGGGTGGAGATTGGCAGTATTGGAGTTTGAACTCAGGGCTCATGCTTGCTAGGTAGGCACTCTGCTGGTTGAGCCACTCCACCATTCCTTTTTTTGTGTTGGGTATTTTTGAGATAGGATGTCTTAAACTATTTGCCTAGGTTGGCTTTGAACTGCGATCCTCCTGATCTCTGCCTCCCGAGTAGCTAGGGTTATAGGTGTGAGCTGCTGGTGCCCAGCCAAAACATTGTTGAAAGAAATGAAAGATTTAATTAAATTGAAAGACAGCATATGTTCATGGGTTGACTTAATATTATTAAGATGAAATACTTCCCAAATTGACCTACACATTTAATGCAAAGACTATCCAAAGTTCCAATTAGTTATTTTGCAGGAATTGACAAAGTAATCCTAAAGTTCATAGAGAAATAGAAAAGACCCAGAATGGCCAAAAGCATCTTAAAAAGAACAAACTTGGAAGACTCAAATTTCTTAATTTTAAAATCTACTATAAGTCTATAGTAATTGAGGTAGTGTGGTACTGGTATAAGAATGGATATTTTGATTAACAAATGGAATTGAGAGTCTAGAAATAAACACAACTGAGTTTAAATAAGAGCACCAAAACCATTCAGTTGTGAAAGAAATAGTGTTTTCATCTAGGTGCTGGGCACAACTAGATATTCTCATTCAAATGAATTAATCTAGACCCCATCTCATATCATAAAAATTAAATGAATCAAAGACCTAAGTGTAAGAACTAGACAATTCTTAAAAGAAACATAGATACGGATCTCTTTGTCTTTGGATTAGGTATTGGTTTCTTTGATTAACATCAAAAGCATAAACAACTGAAGAAAAAAGTATGCAGGTTGGGTTTCTATCAAGATTGTGGAAAGAAAACTCACAAGATGGGAGAAAATATTTGTAGATCCATTATTTCCAAGTATATAACATCTAGAATATATAAAGAACTCTTAAAATTCAACAGTAAGAAAGCAGTCTCGCTTAAAAGTGGTCAGTGATTTGAACAAACATTATTCCAAGGGGGAATGCTCAGCATTAGCCGGGTGCTGGTGCTCATACCTGTAATCTAGCCACTCAGGAGGTAGAGGTCAGGAGGGTCGAGGTTCGAAGTCAGCCCTGGGCAGATAGTCCTCGAGACCCTATCTCAAGAAAAACATCACAAAGCAGGGATGGTGGAGTGGCTCAAATGGATGAGCACCTGCTGCCTAGCAAGTGTGAGACCATGAGTTCAACCCCAGTGCCACCAAAAAAGATGCTCAGCATTAGGCATTAGAGAAATGGAAATCAAAACCACAATGATATGATACACTAGGATAGCTATCACTTTAAAAAAACAAAAAAGGAAATAGCAAGTGTTGGTGAGGATGTAGAGAAATTCAAACTTTTATGTTTCTAGTAGGATTGTAAAATGGTACAGTCACTTTTGGAAACAAAAAACATGTTCATGCAAAATTTACTCTTTTTTGGTCAGACTGTGGCTTGAACTCAGGGCTTCACACTTGCAAAGCAGGCACTCTACTGCTTGAGCCACGCCTCAAGTCCATTTTGCTCTGGTTACTTGGAGATGGGGCTCTCATGAACTATTTGCCTGAGCTGGCTCTGAACCAAGATCCTCCCAATATCAGCCTCCAAAGTAGCTAGGATTACAGACCAGCACCTGGCTCATGCAAAAACTATTAAGTTCTTCAGATTAGTGGAAATAACCCAAATGTCCATTTGGGTTATTGAATAACCATTTGGGATGATGAATAGCAAATGTTAAATTTATCAAACGCAAAAATTAGGCTCTTTTTTTTTTTAACTGGAGGCATGGCCCAAGTGGTAGAGTGCCTGCCTGGTAAGCATGAGGCCCTGAGTTCAAGCCTCCAGCATGAAAAAAAAAAAAAAACGTGCTACACCATAAATGAATCTTGAAACCATTGTGGTATAAAAGAGAAGCCAGACACAAAAGACCACATATTATATATTTCCATCAAAAGAAATAGCCACAAAAGGGAAATCCACAGAGACAGAAAATAGATTAGTGGTTTTCAGGGTCTAGAGGAGCAGGGAATGTTTCACAACTGCTGATGGGTACAAGGGTTCCTTTTATGTGATGAATATGTCCTGGAATTAGATAGTAGTGATGATTGTACAATCATGTGAATAATAAAAGCCACTGGATTATATTAACATGGTGAGTTTTGTGCTCAGTAAATTATCTTTTAATAAAAATAAATGTCATTATTGTAAGTAATATTTAAGCCCAGTTGACCATGATATTGTTATGTTCTATGTAGATCAAGTTGAAAGACATAATATGTACAAGTAAATTGAATAGTGTATTTATTGATGTGTAATTTTTTTTTTAGGCAGTGTTGTGGCATATAGCACAGGCTGGCCTCACACTTTAAATCCACCTGCCTCAATCTCCTGACTATTGGAATTATAGGCATGAAAAGTAAAAATAATTATTTTCTGCTATGGAGCTACTTTCTTACCACTAAAATTTTTATTTTCTTTTTTTATTTTTGCAGTACTTGAAGTTGAACTCAGAGCTTTGCCATTTTAGGCAGGTGCTTGCTCTAACACTCCACCAGCCCTTTTTGCATTGGTTGTTTTTGAGATAGAGTCTTGCTCTATGCCCTGACCAGCATGGACCACGATCCTCTTATTTGTACTTTCCCTCGTAGCCAGGCGAGCATCACTGTGCCCAGCCACGGATTGAAATGAAGCCTCTAACATGTTGCCTGGGCTGGCCTTGAGTAACTAGGATTAGAGAGTTGAGCCACAGTGCCTGGCCACCACTAAAAATTTTTAAGGCCAGATTTATCATGGCCTAAGAATATGTATACAATGAAGTTCTTACCATTAAGTTTAAATTATTTTGTCATCTTTTGATATGGTTAGTTTTTTGAGAAATGTCTCATTTAAACTTATACGTTATTTTTTAAAGACACAAGTACAGGGCTGGAGCATAGCTCAAGTGGCAGAGCACTTGCCTAGCACATGCAAGGCCTGGGTTAAATTCCCAGTATCGCCAAAAAACCAAAGTACAATGACGAAAAGGGAAATTGTTCACACTGATTTTCTGTTCTTGACTAATAAAACTTTAAATATCTCAAGTTTCCTTGGGAATTTGAGCAGGTTTATAAGGTACAATGTTATACCACTACTTGAGTTTTGTTTTAGTAGCGTTTACATATATATATTTTATAAAATAGGTAAATTTTATTAAAAATTTGTTCATGTGAAAAATATTAATCTACAGATAGCTTAAAGTAATTTTACATATGTAAATACAGTAATTACATATAATGTCATATACATAATTTTTTCCAGGTCAAGCAAATAAAGTAGCCAAAGAAGCTGCTAACAGATGGACTGGTACGTATTATAATGATACTGGTAAACTATATTTAAACTTCTTCCACACTTAGTATGATGTGAAATTCAGATGCCTTTGTGCTAGCTTTGTTCAAGAAAGGTCATCTCTGGAAATGCATGCATTGCTCAAGTTTTTATACATTAAATTGTTTCAGTTACTTAAGGTTATTTTAAAAAATCTTACTATGATTCATTTAGTAAAAGTGTAAAATATTTTTGTAAAACCAGTTATGGCCACCAGTTTAACTTTTATGTAACTTTTTCCAAGATAAATCACTCAGGCTAACCATTTAAGTTTCATATATATTAACAATGTATGTCTCATTATAGATTCATATGTTAGTATTTTATTAATATATTAATATATCACTATTTTATTAATGTATATGAAACATATAGTTAAAGTCTCATGTATTTTAGTGTAAAGTATACTTTTAGGACTGTATTTTTATGGAATCCTAAAGATTTGTCTTGCAGATAATAATAATAATAGTTAACATTTATTGAGAGCTATTTGCCAATTACTGTAATGGTACCTCTGGTTCATTCTCACTTATCTCCACAATAATACTGTGAGATAGATGGAATTATTCTCCCTTACTTTGAAGAAGCCTCAGGAGACCAGATGTCTCAGATGTTCTGCTAGGCTGCAGAACATCTATTAGAAACCTCCTTTTCTGATTCCAGGGTGCAGGCTCTCACCCTCCACTCTAGAATGCTGTCTTCCCCATAAGCCTACTTTCATGCAAATACTATAGTAATCCGTTTGCTGATGATACACAGCTGATCTACACCAGAGACAGTCTTTAAAAATGGTAATTAATAAGGCATTATGTATGTGTCTTAAGGGCAGGACAAAGTTAATAGTGATTGCTTGATTTATATATAAGTACGGTTAATATTATTAAAATCTGCCAGAAAATTACACTCATGTTTCACCAATATTTAATTATAAAATAGTGGCAATTGAATTTTTCCACCCTGGTGAGAGTCTATGATATTTCACATGTATTACTCATCTCCTCATTATGCCTGTGTGGGAGAACATGGATGTGAGGGATGCAGAGCTGTGAAAAGCTTCAAGTGCCTGTGTCTAGTCAGCAAGGATTAGTCACAGGAAGAGCAGGTTTGCAACAGGTTTTCCTGACACCCTGGCCAGGCCTGGGTTTCACAGAAAATTTAAAAATCATCTTCTCCCAGTCTGTTTTAGAATTAAGTACATTGGTAAATTGGCCTTTGGCTCCTATAACATTATAATTTTATTTATAACAAATTGTTTCCTAAGTAATATAATGCTTTAGTGATAAGAACAGAGAAGAGTAAAAAGAGCAAACATTAAAGAAAAGAGAATAGTGAAATGTGTCTTATAAAGTACAAATAATAAATAAGTGATACTGTATGGGTTTCAGAAATGCAGAATTTTGACTGACAAAAGAAGCCTTTTAGGTTAAAGATAAGACACAAGGTGTTTTCTCCCTGTGGCTCTCAACAATAGGAACAGGCAGCATGTGTGTGGCGCGTCTGGTTTGCTGTGTGACCCCTTGGACTTCTCTGTACCTGCTTCCTCATCTGTTCCAGTGGATAATGTGTACCTCACAAGTCAGAGTACTAAATAAGACGCTCTGTAAGCTCATCAGCATAATGTTAGACATAGATAATAGTTTGCTGTCTTCAAATCATCACAAATTCCAATGGTTAAATAATTATAAATTGTTTCCCAATTCACCATAAACTTCCAAAAAACAGTTGGAAGAGTTTTTTTCTCCTTATGTTATTAGCTGCAAAAGAACCTGGAAATTTGAAAGTGTGCAAGGATATTTTTAGAACAGCAGAAACAGCTGTTAAGAACTTACTGCCATCTGAGGTTACAGCGTACTCTTTCCAGCATAGACATGTGCTTTAAAAGAATAGAGATAAGAGATAAAGCAAATTACACCTCAGAAAAACCTCCCCAAAAAGAAAGTATTAGTATTTTTAACTAAAAATTACCATGTAATCATCAGTTAGGGTTTGGTTTCTTTTTCCCTAACAAAGTCCTTTAAATGTAGGTAGAATTAATATTTATTGTTCAGTAATTCAATATCTCAGATTTATAAAATGAGAGATTACCTCAGGGTATAAATATAGAAATATCACATCTAAATGTTTTGTGACACTTTACATGTGACTTAGTGAAATCATTATCATATAAAATCTTTGGCTTGCTCAAGTGGTTGAGCACTTACTAGGCAAGTATAAGATTCCTGAGTTCAACCCTCAATACCACAAAACAAAACAAAATTTGGCTTAATAGTAGAGGGCTTTTTTTCTTTTTTGTTTTTGTTTTTCAGTGCTGGGACTCAAACCCAGGGCCTCCTACATTATTGACAAGCACTTTACCACTGAGTTACACCCCCCCAGCCCAACAATCTGGAATTTTTAGAAGCACATATTAGAGGCATCTAATGCATGAGGCAGATAGATATTGTGAACTCCTAACATAGTTTATGGCAAATTATTGGCCCATCCTACTCCTATATGTATCTTAGGCATGCAGCCATATAAATTGACAGGAATTCTACACATCTTAAGATTATTTCTTTAAAAGCAAGTTGTTTTTTCTTTATCCATTTATTAAAATTTCTATATAGTAAGAAAATTATTAGATGGTGAATGAACTATCAAGATTGTGGATAAACATTGTCTTGAGGGAAAATATCCAGTGGCACACAGAAATGTTTAATCAGCATCTTAGAATTCCTCCATTAGGCATTGTAGAGAGGCTTTTATTTGTTGGTTCTCTTGTTGTTAATCTTTGTTTTATAATCTTTATATCATGAAATGTATCACGTATATCATAAAATGGTTTCTTGTCCTTGTGTGAACCTCAGGTGAACTTCCTTCACAGGCTACAGAACCTTGCTGTGGTACCTGTTTTCTTTCTTCCTGACCCAGGCTTCCTTCACTGTTGCATGTACTTTCTGTTTCCTAGAAAATACTCTGTATTTACAGAGCATGTCCTGAAAGCTGTTTACTAGTACTTGGTCTTTTCTTTCTAACACATTTATCACTTTGGAATTCTTTAGTAATAAATATATGATATTTTCTCTCTCCTCTTGTGTCAGCTTGAAGACATAGGTTCTTTACATTCTGTAGTATCTGTAATAGATTTAGTAGCTGTGGGCCCTTGGTAAATACTTGGCTGTGATTGCCAAGAATGTAATTGATTGTGCAGGCACTGGTAAAACTGGTAAACAGGTCATCCTGGAGAACCTTATGCCGTTGTTTCCGTATTCTCACTTGTTATGAAAAATTAAGATTCATTTTAGGTTGTTACAAAGAGTAAAGATTCATTTTAATACCTGTTGATGTCCCATAATAGTTTAATGGAAAGAATAACATTTTATTAGCATTCTTTATTCTGAGGCAGTAGTATTCACTTTAGAAATAAAACGCTAATGTCAGAAATTTATTTATCATTGTATGTACAGAATTAAACTTCTATTGTAACACTATATTGAGGGGTGACCAAATTCCATGTATTAACTTGTGAGGGATACCAGGACAAAATGCTATAGAGCAGCTTAAACAACAGAAACATATTTTCTCACCCTTCTGAAGACTCAAAGTTCAAAATAGGTAGATTAGCAAGTCTGGTTTCTTCTTAGGGCTCTGCCTTTCACTTGTAGACAGCTGCCTTTGTCTTGTGCCCTCTCATGATCTTTCTTCTGTCAACCACTGGTGTCTCTCTCAGTGTGTCCAAATTTCCTTTAGTTATAAAGACACCAGTCAGATTGGATTAGAGTCAGTCACCTAGTGAAAGATCCTGTCCTCAGTGCATTCACATTCTAAGGTAGTGGGGATTAGAACTTCAGCATATGAGGGGGGGTAGAAGGGGTGGTGACATGATAAGGTCCATAACACTCCAGAAGAACCTGTCTTAACACTTTAGTTCACTATCACTGCTGATAAAGTACTTTCCATTTTACAAAATAATCCAGAAACATTATGCCATTTTCGTTATAAAGGTTGTATAAGTACATAAAAGAAATGTGTGAAATTAAGAAAAAAAAAAAAAGTCATTCATTCTCATTACCCAAATGCTGTCACCTTTATCCTGCATTCCTCATTGTCTGGGCGTCAGCTGTGTCTGGCCCAGTGAGTACACATTTACATTGCTTTTAGTCTTTTCTACTGCACTGGGAAGATCCTTGACCAAAAATCTTTGTACACAAGTTTTCCCTCTTGGGATAAATTCCTTTAAGTAGATAGAACACTTTTTTCAGTGGTATGATGTATTTTAAATTCCCCCCTAGGGGATGCTGAGGACATCCTGTCTTAGTCTTAAGCAAGAAGAACCCCTTTCCCTCCTCCTCATCCCTTCTCCCTCACACTGACCTGATTGTCTGGAAGCCATTACTTGGAGGGGAAGGAGGAAAGGCCTGGAGAGAATGTGTTTCCTGTGGGAGCAAGAGCCACTCTAATGACTGAACTAACAGAGTCTGGCCTCTGGTAGAAATACGGGAATGATACCATTAACCTGTCCTTGTCCTTGTATTATTCTTAAGTCATGTATTCTTTAGTAACTTAACTGATTTTTTTTTAATGAGAGCTCTTTACTTGTTTGGAGTATCTTCCTCTATCTGTAAATATTGCCATTCCACTTGAAAAGAGAAAACTTCTTATTTTAATATGGCCAAAAGTAATAGAAGCAAAGCTATAATGAAGATAATTGTATTTGAAATGTTTTATAATTATGTTTTCAGTTCTCAAAAATATTTCTCAATTTTTTGTAGATAATATATTTGCAATAAAATCTTGGGCCAAAAGAAAATTTGGGTTTGAAGAAAATAAAATTGACAAAACTTTTGGAATTCCAGAAGACTTTGACTACGTAGACTAAAATGTTTGATGGTTGTGAAGGATCTGTGAACTTATGAATATGTAAATGTTTAAATATTATCCAACTAATTGTACTTAATTGTCATGTACCTGTAACTGTTTATCATTTTATTAATTTTAAATAAAGTATGTGTTGGCAATAATGGCGCCGATGGGTTTCAGTTCTTACTGCACCCTTAAGCTCCTGTCTCCCAGGGTCACAGTCCTGCCTCAAGTCTAGCTTGAATCCTCCTTCTGCCCCAACCTCCAATCAGCATGAACCATAAGATCCTAACCAATCAGATCATGCTGAGTCCCACTGAGGGGTATTTAAGCCCCTGCCCCTCTCTCCCTCTCTCTCTTGGCTCTCTGCTCTCTCCCTCTCCCACCTGGCAATAAAGAATCTCTTGGCCAGATCACTCCTCTCCACGTGGTCACTTTTGGGGCCCACATTTCCTTATAATATAAAATGAAGATGTTCTTCATCATTTTTGGCAGATTGAAAGCAGGCTGATAACCATATTCCCACAATGCTCATCCAACTAGGACAGTGTAGGTAAAGCCATCCACCTCAGTCAAGTCAGGTTTGCAAATGAGTTTTTAAAGATCAAAGCCGTGACATTATAGTGCTTTTTAGTTTCATTCAAATATTAAATACTAAATACTAATATAAATACTAATATTAAAGGTGCATTTGAAGGCACACACACACACACACACGCACGCACTCACTCACTCACTCACTCACTCCTGCTTAGAAATAACTTTAAGCCCTAACAGCTGCTTCACTATTTCTCAATACTGGGTGGAAAATGTGTGGGTGATTGGTACTCTCATACTGCATCATCTTTTCAAATTTCACATCAAAAAATACAGAAAATTGGTTCTCAAATTCAGAGTAAAGTTGTAATTCCTCAGACATGAAGACTACTTTTGAATTTTTGATACCCTTATATTGGAAAGAGCAGCATATGGCCCCTCGTCCTGATTCGTGCACTTTGAATAGATGATGTAGTTGTATTTGTATAGCACACACCACCAATTTTATAGAATTTGGTTTTTTTTTTCAGCTATAAAGGAAAAAAAATACGCTTAATATAATATAACATACTCCCATGTGTATATTTTTTTAACCAGTCCGGCTTAGCCAGGCACTCCAAAATAAATTTAAAGAAAAGAATAAATAATATTGTAATGCCCTTTAAACACATGCTTTAATATTTTTATACTGTCCAATTTTGATACTCTTTTAAGTAACTTGAATGAAACACTCCATATGTCTGAAATGACCCAAATGGCACCTAAGCCTTTAGTTAGTGAATCTGGCCTTTGTATGGTAGGGAGTTGCTCTGAGCCTACTTAATCTTTTCCTGGCAGTGGGGAGGCACAAATTGGTCCATCTTTGTTTGTTCTTGGGGCCAGTTTTTGTTGCCTTAGGGCACCAGCACTTCTCACAGGAGAAAGCATTTGATGTAAAACAAAGAACAAAAAAAATAAAAGTAATCCACCATAAGCCTTCTCCTAAAACCCTGATTATGAGAATTCTAAAACTTCTCAGACCCATTTTGTTTATTAGCATACACACTTCGTTTTTTGGAAAATATATACAATCCCTAAAATATACTGTTTTGTAAGTATTTAGGTAACTTTAAAAAGAAAATTAGGTCTTTATAGGGTTAGCAGAGAAAGTGAGATACATCTACACATGAACTAACAGAGATTATGGTGCCTTCCTAAGTCAATAATGTGTAAATGTTTAATAACTGACTCTGACATGGGGAGGAGAGGCAGATGTACAGTATTTGCCTGTTTGTGTGGTGTCAGTACTCCCAGCACAGCCAATTTCAGATTGCCAATGTGATGACAATGCAGAAAGGGGAGAGATGCTGAGTATTACACTCTTATGAGTGTTTTTACCCTTCACACACTGTGGATATAAGTGATCACAGGTAATAAGGTGCAAAATAATTAGGGAATGATGAATTTTTAGTTTTTATTACCTTTATTTTTAATATAGTAAAGTCCATCAAAGATTATATAACCTTATCTTTCCAGATGGCTATTTTTTTTTCATTTTTCTTTTATTATTCATATGTGCATACAAGGCTTGGTTCATTTCTCCCCCCTGCCCCCACCCCCTCCCTTACCACCCACTCCGCCCCCTCCCCCCCCAATACCCAGCAGAAACTATTTTGCCCTTATTTCTAATTTTGTTGTAGAGAGAGTATAAGCAATAACAGGAAGGAACAAGGGTTTTTGCTGGTTGAGATAAGGATAGCTATACAGGGCATTGACTCACATTGATTTCCTGTGCGTGGGTGTTACCTTCTAGGTTAATTCTTTTTGATCTAACCTTTTCTCTAGTACCTGTTCCCCTTTTCCTATTGGCCTCAGTTGCTTTAAGGTATCTGCTTTAGTTTCTCTGCATTAAGGGCAACAAATGCTAGCTAGTTTTTTAGGTGTCTTACCTATCCTCACCCCTCCCTTGTGTGCTCTCGCTTTTATCCATATGGCTATTTAAAAGCTAGTTCACAGCCAGGTGTTAGTGACTCATACCTGTAATCCTAGCTACTCAGGAGGAAGATCAGGAGGATTGTGGTTCAAGGCCAGCTCAGGCAACAAGTTCATGAGACCCTATCTCAACCAACGGCTAGGTCCGGTGGCACGTACCTATTGTTCCAAACTATGCTGGGAAACACAAATAGGAGGATGGCCATCCAGACTAGCATGGGCATAAACCAAAACCCTATCTCAAACTAACCATAGCAGAAAGGACTGGTACAGTGGTGCAAGTAGCAGAACACCTGCCTAGTAAATATAAGGCCCCAAGTTCAACCCCCAGTGCCTCACAAAACAGTTGACTTGCCTGCTCCAACAAGTCACTGTTGTTAATTCCTAAGGACCGTTTTGAGTTTATTATTCAGAAGAGCAGAACCAATGGTCCAGCCTACCTCTGTGTAATCCTTAGTCTTGGGCTGGTTTTGTTACTGACCTGAACATGTATGTGGAACAACTTGAGTAGACCTAGAATCACATGCAAGCGATCTAGGACCAAATTTAATTCAGTAAATCATGCTATAATTGATAGTCATATCTTTTCAATGAATTAGGAAGTTTAAAAAGTATTTGAGAGCTCAAATCCATTTTTTCAATGTCTTTTATATAGGTATGTTTTAAAAATCTCTCAAATGTCTGTCATAATCTGGCTAAGATTTTTCAGTATCTTCGTAAATTTTACAGTCGCTCAGGGCCAGATCAAATGGCTCTACTGGGGTTGGCCAGGACCAAAGCCACTCACTCCATTCGGGATGAATTGGGTATGACTTTTCCTCTGACGTTTGCCACACCATTAATCTAATAGGATTATACGATTTTGGCCTGTCTCAGAAATAAGAGGCTATCATCCCTAACTATCAAACACGATTTTCTTTAAGGGATAAGAAAAGGAAAGCTGACAGCCCCAAAGCAAGAACCACCCTACATTCTTGAGCAGAGAAGTCTAAACTGTAAATCTAATGACACAACTTTTCTAGAACATTTTTTAGTAAAAAAATCTAGAAAAACTAGTTGAGATAATACGGTTTTGTTTGTAAGAGCTGTTATAATGAGACAGATGGTGGAACTGTTTCTTGAGTTGGGGTAAACTTTCCTTCAGGATATGCTTCTTGGATATCATTTATATGCCAGGAGGAAAATGAGCTACCTTATGAAATGACCCCCTCTGGTAGGTTTATAGGTTATACTTGTCCAGCCTGATTTAAAGAAAAAAAAAAAAAAAGATTTGTGAGAGACAGGTCAGACAATGTGACTGTTTTCTGAAGTGTTCATACTCGAATCTCAAGGTTAATGTTTTCTACTAACCAAAATTGATAAACTGTCACCCTGATGACCAAATCCAAGACCTATCTTTTAACTCTCTCTTTTTTCCTTGGCTGTTCTGAGGTTTTGGAGATTTTTGGTGTTGGTTTGGTTTTTTACCACTCTACATAGAGAACGTATTGGCGTTTTGAATTCAGGGCTTCATGCTTGCTAGGCAAGTGCTCTACCACTTGAACTATACCCCCAGCCCTTTTTACTCTTAATTATTTTCCAGATAAGGTGTCTCACTTTTGCCCAGGCCACCCTCAGACCCAGACTCTTATCTATACGCTTCCTACTTAGTTGGGATTCCAGCAGTGTACCACCATGTCCAGATTGTACTCTGAGAGATAAGGTCTTGCTAACTTTTTGCTCAGAGGGCCACAAACTTCGATCCTCTCATCTCTGCCTCCTAAGTAAGTGGGACTACAGGTACATTTTTCAATGCTGTAAAAATAAACGAGAATATAGGACAGAGACTGTGTATCCTACAAACCCCAAAGTATTTACTATATCCCTTTACAGAAGAAAACCTCCCACTCCTGAATGGTCAAAGACTGACAGCCTGTGGGCTAGATATAAACTCGGGGATGTACTGTATTTTGCCCAAACTGCATTTTATTTTTAAATTGGTTGCTGACATATTCAGACTGAAAAATGTCACAAGAAAATTGAGATTCTCAGCTTCTTTTGGAAACCAGATGATTTAGCAACTTGAAGTCCTCCTTCCACGTGGAACAAACCAGCTGGAGGACTGGCTCGATTGCATCCTTGGGTAGCAAGTTCAGTCAGTAGAGGAACACCAGCATTCAGCTTTCTGACAAGTTGACAAACTGATTTGAGATTGAGCTTTGTTTTCAATTTCAGAAAAAAAAATCTTGTTGCCGCTCTGTATTAATTTTATAAGTTGACTTAGGGAGAGCTGATTATCTTGATGGAACACCATGTCCAAGAACAAGGGTGTTTTCCCGTTTGCTCAAGTATGTTTTTGGGTTTTTGCCAGTAATTTGTCCTTTCCTTCACATAGATTTTTTTGTATTTCTTAAGTGTATCCTGAGTTTTTCATCTTTTAAGTTGCCACTCTAGATTTCTCTTCCATTCTGTCTTCTAGGTGATATTCTTTATGAATCTTAGTTATTCGTATTAATTTTACTTATTTTTGTGGTGCTGAGAGTGGAACCCAGGACCTCACACCTGCCCTAGCTCTGAACTACACCTCCACTCCCTGCATATTAATTTTATTTCCTGCTATCCTAGTCC